CATTAAGTGCATCAATATTAAAGTCTTCTTTTGATGATTCCTTGAAATGACCCTTTTTTGGCTTTTCATTCCTTCTTAACTTCATGTGGCTTCTACCCCGAGAAAATCAAAGAAACGGGGTGGAACGGTGTCAAAATGGCTGCCTACCAATGATGAATCTTCACTAACTGAAACTTGAGGTGTAGATGTTATGGAAAGGTTGTATGTTGATTTTAGAAATAACACACAGATCACCAACCAGCTTATATATCACTGTCTTAGGCACAGTAGGATTGCTATGTCATTTACTTGACCAGTATGAAGCTCTCCTTGCAACTCTATCGCTAGGTTCCAAAGTATTGTGAATGCTTTCCTCAGAATAATTATTAGTGCTGGAAGCATAGATTGGCTCAAAAATCAATCCCTAGTAGGAAATGATGTACAACCTCGAGCTAAAAAGGTATAAACTCTATTCTCACTCTTTGAACTTTGCCTTTTCACAAAATTTTCAGATGCACCTTCAGCAGGCTCTTTCAACCTATAGCTTGGTTCAACTACATTATCAACTTTAGATAACTGCGGAAACATTCTCAAGCACAGCTGCTTACAGAGACCATTTGCAATCATTGCAAAACATAGGAAAGCATATGTTACTTTCAATTACAAGACAAAAGTTTCTAAAAAATCCTTTACTTAAAACTTTTAGGAAACAGTGTGGCTTTCCTATGCTTTTCAATCATGAAACATGAATCAGGAAGTAAACATACAATTTTTTTACTAACAGGGACGCCAGTCCATATATTATGGACAGGCGTCCATAATTTTGTTTTAAAAATTTTTTGATTTAAATTATGGACGGGAGTCAATTGTTATTTTCGCATGGACAGGAGTTCATTTAAATTGAACGGTCGTCCAATAATCATGGACGCTCGTCCATGTTTGATGGACGATCGTTCATTCGCAGAATGTTTGTCAATGTACTGCATGGTTGCGTCTACTTAGGTGACACGTCATTCGGTGCAAAATTTCGGTGTAAAACTTCGGTGTAAAACTTCTGTGTCCGTAGCATTATTGTAACAAAAATGCTTGTTGGATCAACTGATCGGGATAAAATAGAGATATATTTGACTTTTCATAAGGTGATTCATGTATACAAAAACATATTTGTCCTTGCTGAATTAAAAGTAAAAAAAATGTTTTAATAGTGAGAGAGAGAATGATTTCAAATTTCATTTAATTCTCTCTCTGTTAAGTCTGAAAATCAAATTCCAATGACATATTTTTAAAACATTGGATTTGTTATTTGATTTGTTACTAAGAACAAATCCAATATTTTAATTTAATTATATGATAGTTATTATACACTTGACTCATGCCAAATTCAATTTCAAACAATATCTTCATTGTTGCCGAAAATTGCTTCTAATACCACATTTTGCTCTCTGGATTCCATAGTTCCCTTCCAAATCAAATAATGAATAATGCTTTCCTTCCAACACGAAAATTAACACTTATTAATAAACAAAACCATATCAAATGAAATATGAACACTTGGATTACAATGGTTGGCTTAATCGAATTTTAAGTTGGCTGTGCATAGATAAAAAAAAATCTCTTGTACAAAATCTATAAACATTCTCTAAATAGAGATCAATAAATATATGAACACTTAAATAATGCAGTAGTGGAGCAACGCATAGCTCGTAGCCCACCATTCATTGCCTAGATAACTTTTAACTATCTATGCAAAAGGATGCGTCACATTCTCTATAGAGATCAATAAATATATTAATATTTTCGTTCATTTTTAAAATTAATATAATCTAATTTTATTAAACAAATACAGAGAAAAAGACTTTTATCATAATGATATGGCATACTCATTCTATACGAGACTTTATACACATAATATTGTATATATAGATATATATAATCATGATTTTTTTATCCAACACAACATTAAGATCAATATACTAAAAAAAAAAAAAAAAAAAATTATCCAGCTTTCTCTTTTTATCCACACAACATTCAGATCAATATATATAAAACATTTTTTATCCAGTTCTATCTATTTTATCCAAACAACATTTTGATCAATTACAAAAAACATTTTTTGTCCAATGGCTATTTTATTACAATATGAACTAGTATATTCATTTGTTGGCAAAAATGAGATAAAAGGTTGTGCCTTTGTATGAAAATGTGTTGAAAATCAGTGTGTTGTAAACGATTCTTACACTTACAATAAGGGATTACACTTAGGAGGCGTTTGGTTTAGGGAATGTTGGATTATTAGAATCTTGTATTATCTTAAAGATTGTTGGGAATCTTTAAAAAAAATGTGTTTGGTTAGTTGAAATGAATTGGTAGGTATGTTATATTAATATGTTTGGTTAGGAGGAATAAATTGGTGAGTATGTTATTTAAATCCTAGTTAGTAAATACGCGTTTTATACGCGAATTATACGGCCATCCGTATAATTCACGTATAAAACGCGTATCCACGTCTTTCTCAAAGAGCTGCCGAATTATTCGCGAATTTTTGAAGTATCCGAATTATTCGCGAATTATTCGCGAATAATTGAAATTGACATCTTTTTCCCGCCCATTTCACACTCCCGCCCATTTCACACTGATTTAACCACTGACATCCATTTGTTTTATTCGAAAAGGAGAATAAAAATATAAAATAATCCTCTCAAAAATTCAAAACTCAAAATGACTTACTGACATCCATTTTCCCACCCACACCTTTACACTTTAAACTCAAAACACATACAAAATCATTTCATATTCTTCAATTATTTTCGTGCTATCTAATAAATTAGATTGGATTGATGATATTAAAATAATAATTTATTGTGAAAAAAAAAAAGTCATATATTATAGGTATAAAATAAGATTTGTGAGACAAAATTTTATTTTTTGATGGATTAATGGGAAGTTAAAATTTGTTGCATTTAATATCATACTTATCAAGTTTTAAATTAGTAAAGAATTATGGCTAAATATTGTGTTTGAGTCTAGAGATTATAATTTGAATACCAGTTATATATTGTATATTTGTGTTATTGGTTAATTGAATACTTTACATTTGAAATACTATATTGATTTTAGCCAGGTAATCCATAAAATTATTAATACTAAGATTGATATTGCCGTATTTTTCAAAACGTATTATTGACAATGCACCGTATTAAACCCGTATATACCCGTATCGTATTTTTTTCGTATCCGAATTTTATAGCCGAATTTTTATAAACGTATTTTTCATTGTTTTCCGTATTATACCCGTAAAATTCCCGTACCCTTTTTTTGCCGTACCCATATTTACTAACTAGGATTTAAATTACTAAATTGCCCTCTTTTTAAATATTAATATAATATTATTTTTATTATTAATTTTTAAATAATTTTTTTTAACCCCCAATATTTCAAAATTAGCTAAAACACCCATGCTTATATAAAACTTTAATTTATAACAAACTCGCCCCAACCACCCTGCCGTCGCCTGCCGCCACCGCAAACCACCGTCGGAAGTCACCAGAAGTCATCGTGAGCAGTCAACCGTGACCGAAAGGATCCGATATGGCTGTTTTTAGCCATATTGATGGCTAAAAAGGATGGCCAAACCCATCAATCTGGTCGAAAATGGCTAGAATAGATCTGGCCATTTTCGGCCAGATTTGCTCCTAGTCACGATGGGCTGCTCACAGCGACTCCTGGTGACTTCCAGCAACTTCTCATGGCGGCCGACGGTGGTTTGGCTGGCGGCAGAAAGTGGGTGGGGGTGGTGGCTTGGGTAAGTTGAAATTTGTTTTGATTTCAAGGGTAATTTTGTCTAAAAAGTTAATTAATTTGGGTGAAATGATAAAAGCAAGATTCATGTAAATAAATTAAAAAATAAGAGCATTATTGTCCTAAAATTTTATTAATAAATGATAGAATTGTAACAAAAAAAAGATTACCCAAATAATCTTACAATACTTAAGAAAATGGAGGTAATCAGATTACCTTTAATATTACCAATAGTAACTACTATTGGTATTTAAAGATTACCGATATCTTATATTACTTGACAACCAAACATGGTAGTCAAATAATATAAGATAACTTAACCACAGTAATCTCATATAACCCCCAACCAAACGCCCCTTTATAACTTTGGGTGATAAAGGTATGATACAAGAAAAGAGCATATACTTGCAATAAAGGATTACACTTGCAACTTTGAGAGATAAAATGGGTACTTCTACATGTTTTTTTTTTTAAAGTAATTTAATTATTACAATAAATTAATTCCTATTTTATAACCTCTATTCTTAGAAACATTAAAGTAATAATTACTTATCTCTCATCCTTTCGTAATGTCAATAGGATAAATTGTTTCCTTAAAAAAAAAAAAAAAGTAGGGTTTAGGGGCCAAAAATAATTTTATTTTACTAATAAGTAAATTTAATTTACCTTCCCAAAAAAGCTTTTGATCCGGATCAATTGATCCAAATTGCACTACTCTTTTTCAAATTATCATATCTTTCATCTGTTAAAATTCTAACTCCCCAAATTCTTTTGCTCCTATTCCCAAAATTTATAAACTCAACGTAACTATGCATGCCAACATCGACTGTTCGATTCTCGGCCTCCTTTATGATCAGGCTATGCACTTTATCAACGGTGACAAATCCTCCGTCTTCACTCTCGAGCTCAAATCAGAATTTTTTTTGTTTGATTTGGAGGAACTGTTCTCGATCGCATTTGCTCAAAAACTTATGGACTAATTTACTTCTCTCACATCTCATCCATCAAAGTTAAAACAAAAAATAACCATATATAGATTGAATTTCAGATTTGAGATGTCTCATTCGTCTAATTAATTTAATTTTAGAACCCTATCTCTAGACATTATTTGATTTTTCTTGAAACACTTGAAATTGAGGCAAGTTTCAGTTTTAGATAGTTGCATCCAACCTTTGTACAAAAACAAGCCCTTTCTTTGAATCTTCAACTACCCACAAACCATCAATCCAATGATTCACACATCCCTCAACTAAACAAAAGATCCTTTGAAACTCCACAACCTATAACTTTTTCAACATGTAATCAATGTTGAGAGCCAAAAGTCATATCGCCCGTACAATCCGACAATTAACAACCACCATAGAACCCACCCAACTCCCCATTTCAGCCATTCAAAATAAATTCAAATACTTGGAGTCAAAACAATTATATGACCAAATACTTCAATTCTACAAACACCAGCTTCACCTCACAGGACTTCATGCAAACACTTTCATTCTTCCTTCAGTTATTAAAGCTTGTTCCCACTCTCACTTCCACCTCCACTTTGGCCTGCAACTTCATTGCTTAGCCTTCAAATCAGGCTCTGATTCTGACCAAGTTACTTCTAATTCTCTCATCACAATGTATGCAAAGTATTCGAAAATTGAATCAGCGTACTTGGTGTTTGATAAAATGCCTCACAGAGACATTATCTCTTGGAATTCCATCATAAATTGTTTTACCCAAAGTGGGTATTATACTTTATCATTGAAAATGCTTAAGCAAATGTACTTTTGTGGTTTTGTTCCAAAACCGGAACTCATTGCTGGCGTTTTATCGCTCGGGGCACAAAGTAGAGACTTGACTGTGGGAAGGCAGCTTCATGCTCTTGTTATAATTCATGGACTAATTGAAGAGTCTGTTTTTTTGTCAACTGCTTTGTTAGACTTGTATTCCAAGTGTGGTGAATTAATGACTGCGTTACGAGTGTTTGATCAAGCGGAAATTAAAAATGAGGTCTCTTGGACTGCCATGATCTCTGGATGTATTGATAATCAAAACTATGGTATGGGGATTGACTGCTTTAGAGCAATGCAGAGAGAAGGGGTTAAGCCTAACAGAGTAACATTACTTGTTGCCTTACTAACTTGTACTGAATTGGATTTTATAGAGTATGGGAAAGCCATTCATGGGTATGCTTATCGTCATGGCTTTGACTGGAATCATCGTTTGTCGTCTGCTCTTATGCATATGTATTGTGAATGCGCAGAGGCATTGCTTCCTGCCAGGATTATATTCGAAAGATCAGAAGTTAAAGATGTTGTTATGTGGAGTTCAATTATTGCAGGCTACTCAAGAATTGAGGATTGTGATGAAGCTATGAAGCTTTTTAGGCGAATGAGAGTGGAAGGACATGAGCCAAACTCAGTTACTTTATTGGCAATGATTTCTGCTTGCACCATTCTATCTTCTCTGAGCCAAGGACTTGGAATCCATTGCTATATTTTGAAAACTGCATTACATTCTGATGTTTTTATAGGGAATGCACTAATAAATATGTATTCAAAGTGCGGTAGTCTTGAGGCTTCGCATCTAATCTTCAATGAAATGGCTTGCAAAGATTGCGTGTCATGGAGCACATTAATCAACAGTTATGGCCTTCATGGTTGTGGTGAAGAAGCTTTGCAGCTCTTGCACAAGATGCTAGAGAGAGGGATAGAGCCGGATGCTATTACACTGCTCTCCATTTTATCAGCTTGCAACCATTGTGGCCTTTACGAGGAGGGGACAAGTATATTCAATAATATCATAAAACATTCCAGAATATCATTAACTTCGGAACATTATGCTTGCTATGTTGATCTTCTGGGGAAGTCAGGGAAGATTAAAGATGCTTGTGAGGTTGTGAGGACGATGCCAATGAAACCGAGTACAAAACTTTTAAGCTCTTTAGTATCAGCTTGTAAAATTCATGGAAGATTGGTTGTTGCAGAAATGCTTGCACATCAACTTATAGAGTCAGAACCTGAGAATGCTGCCAACTACACTTTGTTAAGTATGATTTATGCTGAATGTTGTAACTGGGTTGGTGTAGAAGAGGTGAGGAGTGTCATGAGAGTAAAGGGATTAAATAAATGTTACGGATTCAGCAGAATTGACTAAGACAATGAGTATTCATAGCACCCCAAATTTTGCTGGCAACTTAATATTTATATTGTGCCTCCACCTCCATGATTCATAATATCAACTGTTAAATCAATTAAATTATCGCTATACAACCAATCTAATGGTTGATAACAGATTGATATTGTTATTGAATCAGTTGAACAATAAGATATCACCCCATTAATTTTTTTAAATGATAAGAATTGATAGAATACAAAACCGATAATGGGGCTGATTCACAACATAATCAGGTTTCAGGTCTAAATTTATTGAATAGCATGATCAAAGAGATTAATAAAAATTTAAAAATAATACTACACATACATCATTTCCATACAATATTTCTCATACAATATTACGTGGCAAGATGTGATTAGGTAAAAGTTTAATTTTAACTTTAAATTAGCCAATCATATATTGCCACCTAATGTTGTATAAGAAATGTTGTATGAAAATGATGTATATATAGTATTACTTAATTGGTTGGTGCAGTTAGCAGGACATAAAAAGTGATAACTTTTGGGGTAATTTTAACAAAGTGTCTTTTGAGTAAAAAATCTCTTTTACAAAATTATATGTAACGCAAGTACTTTATCAAATTTATTCTTATTTTAGAAAGCACTTCAAAGCTTATTTCCTTCTAATAGTTATTTTCAAAAACTTCCCCAAGTGAAAAAATGAATTAGTTCCCTGATTATTTGAACTTACTTTAGTTTTTAGTGATTTAAAATACATGATCATTAATAATAAAGAGATTAAGATTTCTTTTTCAATATTATGTTTTATTGATTATCCATCTTAAACTTGATAACAAATTTAGTTACAGATCTTCAAAGGAGAAGATTTTGATCCATTAAAAATACTCCAAAAAAACAAGGACAGTGGCTTCGTTTGGTTCAAAATTTGGGGGTTTTGGGAAATTTTTTTTGAAAAAAAGTTAAAAAAAAGTTGAATTGGACGGATATTACGAGGTAGGATTTATAAATTAATAAAATGCCGCCTATGTTTGTTTTTTTACAAAATACCCCCTATAATAAAATATTAAAAGTTAACAAAAACACCCCTAACCCACCCTCAAATATCCCCAGCCGGCCACCACCACCAGAGGTGGCCGGAGTCGTCTTATCGACGCATGACTGGCTAGATCTTGCCGGTCATGCGGCACTATGACCTTTTCCGGCCAGATCTGACCGTATTTGCTCTCAACGACGGCCAACAAACAGTCATTATTGATGGTCAATGATGACCGTTTGTTGGTCGTCGTGACCGACTGTTACGGCCTGGCCTTTTTCGGCCAGATCCACGGCCGTGGATCTGACCAGAAAAGGCTAGATCGGCGCACTACCGGCCAGATTCAGCCGGTAGTGCGCCATCCTACCAGATTCCGACCATTTTTCGACGGTAGTAGCCGGAATCTGGTAAATGTGGATTGTTGGGGTGTTTTTGTAATTTTTAAAATAATATTTAGGGGTATTTAATTAAATTAACAAATTTAGAGGGTTTAAAAAAAATTGAATAATATTGAAAGTAGTATTCCAAAAAATGAGAGTTTTTAGGTATTTTACTATTTAACTTTTTTGGGAATACTAAGAGTAGTATTCCCAATTTTGAACCAAACGAAGCCAGTATTATCATCCCGTTACATTCGAAGCTCCTCAAACAGTTCAGACTTAAGAAGATTAAAGGTAAACCTGAATTTTCATGTAAATTCCTAGTAATGTACAATTGTACATTATTTGGGGTTTTTATATTTAGATTTCATCCTTAATGCTTAAACAATTCTTTCACAGCCTACTCAAGACCCCAATCCTAACTTTAAGTCTATTAAGACTAACCATAAACTTCATAACCAACATTCATCTGCTGGATTATTACATGAACAGAACATATGTTATGGCTACAATGTGGCAGATACCCTGAATCTTCTGTGCTATCGAGATATTGTCTACAATGTACAAATCTTTAAATTGATTGACTCAATAAGGAAAAGAACAAGGCAGGGTGGGCTTATACGATGCAGTCTCCGCTGCAGACAGCTCCAGCCATATTGTCTATTATGTTAACGAGTATTTCAGACAACGATTGTATATATAACCAATCAATCATGGACTGAGTATATGTTAGACACACTGATGTAGAACCTCATGTTGATTGGATGCATGTACATCTATCGTAGAGAGGTTTTTTTCGTAGTTAACTTGCCTCAACAGTGCTATTTCCATATACCAAGAACAATTATTGGCCAGCATGGATGCTGATGTTCCACTTGCACGGGAAAAAAGAACCAAACTTCATTGTCACTGAAACTAACTTTTAATAAACAAAACAATATCTGTGCACAGATATTTTCCAAAGAACTAACAAGAAAGTTCCAGCACAAATTAACAGCATTTTTATTAAGCGCATTAGCTACTGAAAGGTTCATCTGTCCAAAAATTATTCATATTCAAAACAAATGGAAGCAGAAGCTTAACTCTTTCAGTATCAGCCCAGCATGCATTACTGCTACTAGCAATTCGTGAAATTGCAATCGACATCCAAGTCTTCACACTTCCTGTATGTCTCGAATATAGCATGGTCCATTGTTGAAATAAAGCAAAACAATATCAGGGTGACATCTACTGAAGCTGAATAGGTCTCCAACTGCAAGGGAATAATTCTAACTTTTACTGGCCGAGTAAAACTGAACCAGGTCAATTACAGCAATTAAAAGTCCCAACTTATATTTACATTGCATGCTTTGACAGCAAAAAATTTAAAAAAAAAAAAAAAAAAAATAGAAATCAGATTTGTAAGCAGAAGTATTCCTACATCACCAAAAACATTTATGCCACTTGTTACAGGAAGCATTTACATAACTGTTAACTAGTTTGTTATCTCCTCACTTAGCATGGCATAGACATGACAAATCAGCATCCCCACTATACTACACTGTTATCTTCATTTCTCAAAGTTACTATACTAGAATTTTCTGAGTTGCAATTTTTTAACTGTCTTATTCTATCAATTCATAATATATACAAATTAGTCAAAACAAATCAAGCAATAAGAAGTTTGGTCCCCCAATAACAATGCCTACCAAATTCATTATCATATGAGATTCGCAGTAACACAGACAATTTCAGCTTTTTTCATACTTTGGGCATAAAGAGTAATAAATATATTTTGGAAGATTTAAACTGATAAATGATTCTTTATAATCTTAATGATTACTATTATTAGTAAAAGGGTATTGACTTGATACCTTTTCTTATTTAGTGCCAAGGCAAAGAAAGAGCTAAGACGTACATGTTCCAGGTCAGTTTTTAGCAGAAACACAAACATGTTTCCAAAAACCACAAAAAAGAACATCCTAGCAATTTTTTCACGAAGCTAGTAAACCAAAGTAAACCAATCTGTAATGCAATTGGTATTGAATGTTGACACAACAACTAACAACTAATGAGCTGTTCTTTCAGTTAAATTAATGAAGCACTTTGACAGAAAAGCAACTGGAACAGGAGATAGAGGATGTCCATTTCAAGTCAAATAATCCTAAGAGCCAGCTACAACACTTTTAAATAACAAGACAGAAGATACCATGATACCTCGTACAAAAAGAAGATGAAACCCATAAGATAATTGGTAGTTTCAAGATGGGTGAGGTGGATAATAAACTGACTAGCAAGACTTTTGAAGACACAAATCTAAAGGACCAAATATTGAATATTCAGAAATTTTCCCATAATTCCATGCTCTTCTCTACATAGAGTTCCTATGTATCTGTAACAATTGAGACAGGGACACTGTCCCACAATTCCATGCTCTTTCTCTACATAGCATTCCTATTGAGAGTGCAATTTTCCAATTATAACAGTCCATGTCAAAAATTCTCAATAGAAACATAATAAGTATTAATGAAGTTTATATTCGAACTTGGGGCTTTTAAGGCTAACAACATAAGACCAAAATTTCTCACCACTCCAGGGGCATTCTATGACCATGATCTCCAAACAGCAATCACAAAAATTTAAACAAAAACCATGGTTGCTATCACTCAGACATGACTTGACAGAACATTACATAACAGATGCAGATAAACTTCACAGAACTTGGCTCACAACCAAATAGAAAACCATGTAGTCAAATGATTCATCACTGCAACTTCACAAGAACATTTGTGTATTTATTTTACAAACTACTGTTTCACATCTCAATACAAAACAAAGAACAAGGATATAAAATTACCTTATTACGTTTATGAAGATGAAGCTTTAGTTTTGTCACTTGAAGCAGCAGCAGTATTTGCTGATGGCAGTACATAGATTCGTGCTTTCTTAAGAATTTCAGCAACAACCCAATTCTTACGCTTGCTCAATGGCCTAGAAGGATCCAACTGAACCTGCAAAACCCCAAGATGATAAACACCAAGTAGAACTCAATCAAGTTCAGCAACAGAATGAATAACAAATATGATAGAGATTAATACTCACTCGGTCACCAATGTTGCATTGATTGTGCTCATCGTGAGCCATGAACTTGGAAGTCCGCTTGACATAACGTTTATACTTCTTGTGATGAAACAGTCTGTCCACCGCCACCACTACTGACTTTTGCATCTTGTTGGAAACAACCATTCCCACCACTGACTTCATTTTGTAAACACTTTAAATCTCCCAAACCTAAGTCAGATTTTATAGTCATTGCTACTAGGGATTTCATTTTGTAAACACTTAAAATCTCCCAAACCTAAGTCAGATCTTATGGTTGTTGATATTAGGGATTTTAGTTGCAAACAAGAAAAAGAATAATAAAATCTACTTCCTGATAAACATAGAGACAACTAATCACACTATAATCTAGTCAACAAATTAATTAAATAAAAAAAAAAAATTTGCCGGAACAATTAAAAAACGTGAATTCGTGAAACGATAGATGAATAACTTTATAAAAAAGAGATTACCGGTAGCGGCAGCCGAGGCTGGTGACGACGGCTGAAGCAGGTGAAACGACGTAGTTTAAGAAAACAAAACGAAAATTACTGGTGGTGGTGGAAGACGACAGCTCCTTTTGGTTGGAAGAAAGAGGTTCAGACTTCAGAGAGTGTTTCAATTGGGTCAAGCGTGTGAGGAACCCTGTAGCCTAAAACCCTTTAGTTTCTGTCAAAGGTCAAAACAAAAGTGTAATGCTACCGTTACGAAGGTTGCGCACTAAATTTGTGCATCTAATAACGTGACGAAATATTAATCATTTATTTATTATTAATTAATATTAATCAACGGTCAATAATTTTACCACTTCATTAAATGTACAGATTCGGTGCGAACTTTTGGTGGCTCTATCATTTTCCAAAACAAAAACCCAACCCAGTCATCTTTTTTAACCTTTTTACACGGTAAGACTATAATACCCCTCAATATCTTTATTATTATTATTATTGAGATTATTCCATCTGCAGTTTTAAGTTTAATCAATTTTAAAAAAAAAATTGTAAACTTAATTTCAAAATTGCTTTGATTTTCTAAACGGATAATGTTAAATGTAAAAAAAAAAAAAAAAAAAAAGATTTTTAAATTGTTATTGTATATATAATGACAAAAATTGACCTTTTTTTTCAATATAATTATTAAATTTATTATAAAAGTATTTGATAAATATTTAAAAACAAATAATTTATTAACGTAAATTATAATTTTTTAAAAATGAAATAAAATTAAAAAATAGAGAGTCGGTGGAGTGTCCTACACACAGTCGGCATAAAAATAAAAAAATGAGAAGTGTTAATCTTATAAAAACAAATACAAAGGGGGCATACAAAGACAATCTCTACCCTTGATCTTCATGATTTCTTTCTCTCTCTCTTTCTTTTTTTCCGTTTTTTTCTTTGTTTTTTCTTTCACTTTTTAGTCTTCTTTATATAAAATCTTTGTAAGGATAGCATTTTTTTTAAAAAAAAATATCCCCTCAAATTACCAAAAATTATATGAAAATATTTCATTTTATAAAATTAATTTTATTGTTACCTTTATACACAATAACTAACTAAACCGATTGATTTTGATGGAATCAAATTGGATGCATGCATAATTAATTAAAATCAACAAAGAGAAACAAATAAATGACATAAACAATTTTAAAGTGGTTTCACAAGTTCAAACTTAAGTCCTATTTTTTGTTATCTTATTGATACTTTGAATATAAAAATAAGCTTAAATTCGTTAAAATTGATAACCTCTTGCAATGAATTTTTTTAGGGTATTTATACATAAATTTGATAACTATTCATAGAGAGGTTATAGAGATTATAGCTCAATCATTTGAAGTTAATCCAACAAGATTAACTCAATCACGTTAAATCAAAATTACATGATGATTTGTGAGGTAATTATCCATTTAACTCACCATAACAAACTTAGTTCGCTGCTTCACTTTCTCAAAACTATCACTGATTTCGAGCTTATGGTAAACTCTCGCGCAACAAATTTTATAACACCATTAAAACTCGAGAAATTATTGGTAACTCTGTTGAACTTTAGAGTTTAGAAACTACAACGGGGACCACGTCCCATTAATTTGAGTCATCAAGTTAACAAAAAGGTAAATATTAGAAGGAAGTGGCAAAATTTGAAATAGAAGCAAAGGATAGGGAGAAAATTAGAAAAATGAAATTAAAAAAAATGCTCCCAACCCGTTATCCACTTCCCTCTGGAATTCTTAGTTACAGTCCAAACACGTCCCTTTAGGTTAGCTCTAAACTCCAGCTATTCTCCTCCAACACTTATAGTTGCTTCTTTTAGCTTTTGCATGTTTCCTTACTTGCTTTAAGTTTATGGTTGTCATGAACCATCTCTTAATTTCTTAACTGATTTTTCTTCAAGCATGTTGGTTTCGTTTTTCTGCTTACTGTATCAGCAACTTACTTCTTGAGGGCTTGAAAAATGTGGGGTTGCTATTTACATGTTCTTAATGAGCACTTCATTGGTCTTATGTCAAAATTTTATCTTTATTAACTCAAACCACTGTAGAAACTCTCTTTACATGCACAATTCCTCCTGTTCTTCGATTCGATGGAGTGCTAAGAAACAAAGATTTTGTGGGTTTATCCCAAATGCTAAAAACAATAATAACCATTCCAAGAGAAATAAAAGTTGGTGGCAAAGGTTCTTTTTTGATGATGATGGAAATTGGCTTGGTTTGAAAGATAATGATATGTTTGAAGAGGAGGCTGATGTTTCTAGTGATGAGGAGTTATCAGAGAGTGAGAAGTTTGAGGCGTGGAAGAGGCGGGCGGAGGCGATAATCGAGTTGAGGGAAGCTCAAGAAGATATGAGGAATGAAGAGAGTAGGAGGTGGGAGGATTGGATTGTGGATGATCATGGAAATGGTGCTGATGAATCTTGGAATCAAGATTTGGGTAATGGGGTTTGGCAAGGGAAGGACGAAGCGCGTTTGGATCCCAGTGAGTTGTTTCCTGAAAGGGGGTTGGTTGAGTCTGTGAGGAACTTGGTTTTTGGGAAAGAAGAGGATGATATTTTGTATGAGGACCGCATTTTTCGATACGCCTCCTTGAATTCAGTAAGTTGTTATGAGTAGTTGTGTTATAATCTTGCAAATTCAAGTTATATTCCACCATTAGCATCATGGCATGGATAATTCTAATACAGCAAATAATTAGTAATTGGAAGTGTTTATGAACATTTTCAATTGCTCCATTTTTGTTTATTGCATTTCATGTTTTCGACTTTGAATCATTTGAATACTCTCCACAACCATGTAGTTGTTTTATTATTGTATTTGTATATTGCTTTTGTTGATAACGTATTGAATATTTAATTCTAGATTATGACTAAAGAACCTAAGCCATACTTGTTCTTGCTGTTTCAGGCTAAATTTTTGGCAGTACTGATAATTATTCCATGGGCCTTGGACTTTGTGGTTCATGACTATGTTCTCATGCCTTTTTTAGACAGGTAATCATTGAACAGAATAGTCTAGTTCAAGTGACTTGCCGGTAATCATGCCTCTAACAAAATATTAGAACTATTCTCTTGCCTGATTTCTGTGTGTTATTAGTTTGTGTGGAACAATATTTTGGATAAGAATTTTCTTTTTGCTGTTATAAGACAGTTGAATGGTTCTATCTATTTGTCTTTTTACTGCACAACGTACTTTTTTGTTGATGCCAGTAATAATTTAGAAATTTTATGAATAAGTTTATCCCCTTAATTGTCACACAATGTTTCCGATTTCCCTCTAAATATCTCCAAACTTGAAACAGCTAAGTAGGATCCCGGCCATAAATAACAAAAGCTAAGTCTTTTAGTTCTATGGATTAATCTCACTTTCGCAGCCACCTGTACAATTCTTTTGCTAGAATATTACAGAGGGAATGAGTTCCAGAGCATCCTTGATCACTGTTTTTGTTGGTGTTTTGGACATTGTTTCTGTGTACTCATTTATCTACTGGACTTGACCCCTTTTAGATTCATCAATATTTTAGTTTTAGTAATGGGCTTTAGTTTTCAAGCTTCAAAAGAAATATAAATGGCAAAATCATCTTAGAAGGACGATAATGAATGAAGAACTGATGCATTACACTGTATTAGAGAGAAATAATATATTATGTTTCTTGGTAAATATAGATCCCAAAAGCTTGGTTGACAATATTGCTATTTTGTAGCAAAAAGTGTGGTGAATTCAGCCAGACTTTTGATGAATGTTTGCTTCTAGATCTTGGTTCGGGTGACTCTTTCGGCTCCTTTGTGTCTTCCAATCCTTTTCTTATTTTATTTTATTTTATTTTTTTATTAATCTGGATGCTTTGAAATTTTAATCGTTAATAATTTGTAGAAATTTTGGAGCTACGATGCAGCTTAGTGCCTTATTTGTTCGTTTGTTTGTTTGTATTTTTTTTTTTTTTTTTTTTTTTTTTAAATCCAATGTAAAAAGCTATTCCAGAGTTATGTTCAGTGCACCTTAGTGTTTGAAACTATGTATATATGTAGTCAAGGGTATATATGTAATTATAGTGTGTATATATTTGTTAGGCTGTATTGTTGAAAAAGATTGAAAATAGAAATTGAAAAATGCAAATATTGAAAACATGATATCAGAGCGGGACTAAACGCTAAAACTCGTTTCTACGTTTCTGTTTTCCGGCGGCCGGCGATTCCTACGAACCTTCTGTTCATGGTTTCTCACTCTTCGACAGCGTTTGAATATGTCCGACAAACCCTCGACCTCCTTTGTTATCTCCGGCGACGTTTGTTCTTGGTTTCTCCCTTGCCGACGACTTCTGCTCTCAGCCTCCCCTTTCCGACGAATGCTGGTTCTATTCCAGTTAACTTGTCCCTTTCTTCTGCTCATTCCGGCGATTTCTTCTATGGTTTCTCTCTGTTCATCTCGACTTTCCAGCGACACAATCCCTTTGCTTCCTTCGACGACGTGATTTCTTTGCTCTTTCCGGTGGCCAGCAATCTCTCCTCTGGTTTCTCTCTTCTCTGTCGTTCCCAGTAATTCCTTTTACAAGAAAGTGGTTGGTTTCTTTCTAGTTATTTGAGATTGGGGTGCATTTGTGTTTGCCTGGGTTGTTTGGTGTTGAGGTTGTTGTGAATCTGTGGAGTTGGGAGTTATTTGACCCTATCAATTGCTAGACAATATGGTAGAGGACGGTAAGAAGATGGTGACTGAAATTGTCACTTCCTCCACCAAAATCACTGATCGGAAGTTATTGGGAAAAAGGAATTATATTCAATGGAAATGGATTATCCGACGATATGTGTCCAACATTGACATGGGAGACCATTTAATCGAGGATCCGCCTAAGGAGACAGAAAGTGATGGTAAAACTTGAAAAAAATGGCTCATGGAAGATGATGAGCTCTTCAATCATATTTAGAACACTCTCGATTCGTCCGTGGATGATGTGACTAGTCATTGTGATACCGTCAAAGAGTTATGGGAGTATCTAGAGCTCTTGTATGCTGGTAAACAAGACTTGTCTCATGCCCATAAATTGTTATTGAAGATCTACCGGGCAAATATGCAAGAGAAGACGTTGCTCGAATATTATACAGAGATAAAACAAGCCTTTGAAGAAAAAAGGGCTA